TTTTCTCTTTAAAATAATCTTTGACACAATTTAAAATAGATTGGGTCCCTTTTGGTATCTACAATCAAGCAAAAAGCTTCACCTCCTAATTTTTTCTTTCTTTCATAAACCTGACGTACTCCAACAGTAAAACCTACATTATTTGGCAAGGTTGATTCATCAACTTAAAGGGAAAATTCGTTGAATATCAGAAGTTTGCATAAAGAAACTTCGTCTTTAGCCATCTCATCAATTCGACAGCCCACTGTATCGCTGCTTAATGGGATATTTTTGATTAGATTGGATGAGACTGGATGCCAATCTTTCTGTTTCTGTTGAAAGTTTGAAAAAACTGTTCTTCAAACTTTTTTGATAGCCGGCAGTATCAACTCTTTGCCGATGATATGTGCTTTCCCAGATTTAGCAATTAATTTTGATATACTATAAGATGCTATCAAACCATCGTCGCATTTTTGTGATGAGGTTGCTAGTAAGCCTGAGACCGTAAGTGCCTTCAGAAACTTGTCTTCGATGTTCGTAACAAATAACAAATCTTTATTTTGTTTGTCAGGATTATTTTTTGCAAATGCTCCTGATAACGGATAGATTCCATTCCCTCATTAGATAAAACTTTGTTACAAAATACACATGGTAAGTTGAGAGTTCGACAGCAATTGAACAAATCCAAACTTTTGGCAATGTATTGACGACACTTCTTTATGTTAGCCGACATTGTTGGTGGCTGCAATATGCAAACGATGAAAGAAAATCATATATATCTTCAAATTAATAAATGATTTACCATAAGGAGCTATTTCTCTCACGTACTTGGCCAAATACACAATAAAATCTCATCGAAACTGACTGGGAACAAAGCTGTAAGGTAGAAAACAAAAACCCTCATCAGAAACAAGGGTTAAATTGAACATCCATACTAAAAGCGCATGCACTTCAATTTCCACCAAATGACTTGAATGAGTCGGAGGCAAAAACTTGCTCTGCGCTGTGCTGGTTCGGATCGGAGATCATTTTATTGCTTGCACAAATGAAGTATCAGATCATCTTAATTTATTATATTAATTTAATCTTTTTTTCTTTAATATTACTTTTGGATTAATTTTATTTATTAAATAAATCTTAATATAGTAATTTTATTTGGAAGTATTAAAATTAAATTTCAATGACAAAACATTCTCAACGCCCCTACCTCTCAAAATATACCCAACGCCTCCCCCAACCACCCGAAACAAGTCCACCGTCCCTCAGCATACTCCCGCAGCCCCCAGAGTGGCGATATCACTCCGGTTGAGGAACAATGTTTTAAAGTAATGAAAGAAAAAAAGTACTGCAGTAAATATTTTAACAATGGGTAATTTCTATGAGAAAAATTTGTATCGAATTTTTGAACGGTCCCACAGTGGACTGATAGTAAATACATGGTCCCCAGTAGAACACAGAAGTCAAGCATCACTGGCTGCTATCAATAAGCTAGTCTGTGACCAGTTTAGTCAGTCTGCGTTGGGATCGAGGGTGCATGGTATTGGTCCTCGTTAAGCTGATCTACCATAAAATGCTCAATTTCGCGCCCAAGCCGCTGGTCTACCAAAGCAAGAGAGCGATCCCCTCTGCAGAGGATCAAAATTGCGATGGTATGCCTTTGGATCATCCTCAGGGATACTTCCCAGGCCGTCGCCAATAGCCCATTGTGCAGTTCCAGTGCTGCTTAAATAAATGTACAAAAGTAGCAATTCTGAACGATTCTCTAGATCAGTACATAAAAATTATTGCTTGAATCGTCTGTCCAAATTAAAGGATCAGAAATGGCTTTACAAGAAATAAATTTTATTATATTAGATAACTATGCGGATTTAACATTTCTGAGAATATAAAATGTGATAAAAAGATTTCTAATATTTATTTTGTAGTAGAACCTTTTATCAATCTCTGCCATTCTACATAATTTGAGCCGCGATGGCTCGGGGGATAGAGAGTTCGCCAGCCACTGAGGTGAACCAGGTTCGAATTCCAGGGATGGCTTGTTGATACGAATTCCGCATCCGGCTTGCACTGACCACAGTGCTGACATAAAATATTCTCAGTGGTAGGCAGATCATGGGTTAAAGTCCCCTTGTCATCAGACTGACCTTGGGTTTTTCGTGTGGTTTTCCTCTCCATGTAACGCAAACGCTGGTTAGTTCCATAAAAAAGCCCCCTATGAAGGCAAATTACTCCCAATGCTTGATCCAGGAGTTCTCTTGTCTTCTGGGTCGGGTTCAAGGCTACGGAGTTGAACATTAGTAGTCGTAAGCCATCAAAAATTGGGTTGGCTGTTTAGCGACGGTTATAAAATAGAAAAATATATAAAATCTATAAATTTTAACTTAATAGTGAAGGAGACAATTTTATTAAAAATCTATACTATTAACTTTTAAATTTTCGAAAGATCGTCATTTATAGTTAGTATTGATTCGCAGCTCTTTCCAGGCTTTATTTTTAATTAAAAATAATGATAATAATTAATTCAACAGAATCGATACTCCAGATGCTTTAACTAAAACAGCGGAAAAAAGCAAATTATTTTTGAATGGAGAATTTTAGATGACAAAAAAAATAACTAGGTTAGGTGGGGAAAAAAGAGCAAAGAAAAAAAGTTGAGGTAAAATTATTTGTCTGTTCGTAATTACAATTCTTTTTTTAAAAAAATAATAATATTAATTAAGGATTAATTACTTAAGGATTACCGAAAAACCCTCACTTGATAGTATTTAACAAAAGAATTAGAACACGATTCAAATATCCTTCTAAATTTCAATAACACTTATTTGTATAGCGATATAATAATAATTAGGCAAAAAATAATTTTTCAACTTGTTTTTTGTTAAAAAAAAAAACAACAACATTAAATTGGGATATTTTATCATATCTTTTAAACATTTTAATTTATCAAAAGTAAAGACTCTGAAAGATGAGAGTTAACCGATTTAATTAATACAATATTTTTAATAATACTATCATATGTTTGAATTTAAAAATACATAAAATATGGTAAGTTCCCTTCATTTAACTTAAAAAAAAACGTATATTAATTACTTTTTTAAGAACATCAAATTAGGCATTCGAATCATACGGGTTTAACCAGCTGAATCGGACAGTGAATTTAAGCAATTGTAATGAGAGGCTTTTTTCCTAGTTCTTTTCTTCTTAATTCTACTATCATATCCAAATTGCATTGTACTACTCGCTTTTCAAAATTCGAGCACATTATAAATCATTGGAATTATAAAACTAAATCTACCAATGCATATCATACTTCATGAATAGAATAAGAGTATTAATTTTGATACGCCGGCCAGACGATTGAGCTGTTATTGTGCCAGACTGCGAAGCCAATGGTTGCGGGTTCGAATCCCGCTCAGGGCATGGATGTTTCTCTCGGTGTGTTATTCTCTATTGTACGATGCGTCAACGTGGCTCACCCTATAAACGGATATCTGTGGCATTGTGGTGTGGGTAATGTTGCTCGCCTCCGTGACTTAGGTTCACAGGTGCCCACTGGGTAACGTTAAATGAGTAATACTTCCAGCATCTTCCTAGGCGAAGGGCACAAAAATTCAGTGCCTGCCTATAGTATTGTTACGATTTAAATAAATTTAGAATAAAATAAATAAAAACATAAAAGAGTGATGGTATCATTAGCAAAACATTGTTCAAATTAATTACCTGATCCTTCGTTCCAGAAGGATCTCCAGATTTCGTAACTGGTCGATTAGGTGCATTTGAAATGGAGTTAAAGAGGGCACAAAGTTCCTTTAGGAAGTGTTAGGAAAATTTATTTTATTCATCAGACATTCTGCTGGTTCACTTTGATGAAGCTGGCTCCCCTTTTACCACATCTAATTATTCTACTGGAACGCACATTTTCAAATTTCGAATCGGATGAGGCTTCCTTTTTATCTCCTTTAAAAAGAGGAATTCTAGCATAGACGATTCGTAAACGCCTGGATTGTAGATTTGGTGATTGTTACCATGGAAACTCGCCAACTATTGGCGACAAGGCACACTTGCTGCTCATCTTAATTTGCCAAAGATTAAATTAAATAAAATATGATTTACCTTTACATTTATTTGAGAGGCTTTAAAATTTAAATATTTTTACATCTTACACTTTAAAAGGGGTGAAGCATTAAGAAACTCATTGGGAGGAGAACTTGAAAATATCAAAAATGAGAACGTTGTTTCTCTCACACTGCGGCTTCCTCAACTCGCCAAGAAGGCACGAGGAAAAGAGCAAAGTGATACACGGTTAAAGTTAGGGTGGGGATAATCAATAAGAAAAATTAGTTGATCAAGTTAAATGTAGTGAAAGGCTATTGCGGTTAAAAGAACGAAACCTGAAAAAACTATTGAGGAGATGAACATCGACGCACGTGTGATGTAGCAACATCATACTGCCATTTGGAAATAAAAGTCTTGATACAATAAGTAAAACCATCTTTATCGACCATGATAATATCAGTTGGGCAGTGGTCTAATATGTCTTTATAAATAAGAGATGAATTTTGTTCTCTGATTATAATTGTTGATGTGTTTGTAGTTCATTTACGTCACACTAGAGCAGCACAATGGGCTATTGGCGACGGTCTGGGAAACATTCCTGAAGAATGATCTGAAGACATGCCATCACAATTTTGATCCTCTGCAGAGTGGATGGCTCCCCTTTTTTGGTAACTCTGCGTGTGAGGTCGAGCACTTTGCGGTAGAACAGTTTAACGAGGACCGATACCTCACATCCTTGGTCCCTACTCAGGCTGATCCAAGTGGTCACCCATCAGCACACTGACCGCAGTCAGTGATGCTTGACTTCTGTGATCTGCTGGGAACCGTGCCTTAACGATTAGTCCACTGCAGGACACTCTGATTATAAAAAAAATTTATATGACCTAATATGGTCATTCAGTTAACTCTTAAATTTCTGTGATTTTTTAAAAATTTTTTATTTATTTAATATTATTTTTTTTAAGATTTGAGAAATTGATTTTCCTTAATATTGATTTGAACAACTTGGAAATAACTACATATAACTGTAGTCCTAAAATTGAAGTAAGTTATTATACCTATATTTCATAATCATCTTTAATTTTTATCAAATTTTATTTCGAAAGCCGAGAATATTGTGTTCAAGATGTTTGACACAAATAAGGTCGCGAATGAAGCACAAAATAATTTCATTTTTCAGTTTTCAAGTAGTAAATATTCTCATAGTTTATAAATTGATGCATTGAAAACATTTTTTAATAAACGAATTAAAAAACATTTATTAATAACATGTTATTGACACTGTAGTCTTGTAGGAATACTAGCGTCTATTTTTTTGTAAGTATAACAGTTCCTGTTTGATATTTTTCATTCAATACAATACAATACAATACAATGTAATGCAAAGCAATGCAATATAGACTAAAGTAAAAAGTTTGTAAGTAAGTAAATTTTTGGGCCATTTTTTTAAAGAATTTATAGTGTAAATGAAATTTCCTAATTTTAAACATTATAATAGTATATCGAAGAGTACATCACATATTAAATATTGGATAGTACATCGATAAATACATATTTTTGCGCTGAATTAATCGTCTTCGAATTTGTCTCTATAACTTTCTATCCCACAGTTTTTAAGAATTTCTATTTTTCATTATTATAATTAGAATATCTTTTTTTTAAAATAAGATAAACATTTCTTAAAAAGTAAAATTTTATAACAACTGAACCGTTATAGAAGTATAATTATCCATAGATGTGTTTACCTTCTCGATTTTATTTTAGAACATTGAACATTTTGGTAACATTGGAGGCTATGTCGGAATCTGGCTGGGCATATCTCTAGTTGCAGTTTTTGATTTCCTGAGTACAGCGTTCGATTTGCTGAAATTTCCTTTTCGAAACTTGACTCTTAAAAAGACTCGAGTGCACAGAATAAATCATCAAAAAAGGAAAAAGTTAGACTTTAGGTAAGACTTCAAAAAGCAAGTAAGACTTCAAAGATTTTAAGCAGATGTTAAACTCACCAACGAAGATGTTACTACATTGTTTAATTTAGACTAAAGCGAAAAACAGTTCTAATAAAGTACAAATAAAGGTACAAGAATTGATATGCTATAGTCTCATTCCTGTAAACAAATACCTTCTCCAGTGTCTAAATGTCAAATTAAATTCTTTAAATGAAATCTTTTCTCGCAATCCACTGAACTTCTGATTCGAACTTTAACAGCAATTCAATTGTTTTACCTTATCTGAAAATCAGCTCCTAAATCACTGAGATTTTGAATAAATTTGAGTTTAAAAGTCATTTTTTCTCCTGTAAATAAACTAAATTTGCCCAATCATAATGTGATGCCACAATTGGCATTACATATTTATTTTCCATCTTTTAAAATATCTTTCACTACTTAAGCTTATTTTTATTAATAGAATTACATTTAAAATAAATCAAAGACTTAATCTTTTAAAAACGAACATGAGCATATAATATTTATCCTTCTCTTATAGATCAATGTAACGGATACTTTTTATTTCATTACTAATGCAGACTTATTAATTCACTGTCTCCTCAAATGAAAACAAAAATCTATTTATAACTTTTTATTTCTAATTTCTAACCGCAAAAATGCTGCAGTTGCATGGTTGTAATAATTCTCATAAATTTGTTGGCGACTCGTGATCGCCAAGGTATTATTTTAAACCCAATATTGATATGATAGTTGGCTTTGTTTTGGCTACATTATAATTTATTAAATCGCCAATTTTGGATCTCCTACCCATGCTTCTGTGTCCGTTGGGAACAAATTACATGTACTTTTAAATTTGGCTTAAGTTTAGGCAGGTCGTGGGGGATTGTCTCCCATAGCCTGTCCTTATTAATATTGGTATGCAAAACTTATTCAACTGAAATTCCTTTGAATAATATTTATATCTTGTATCTCGAGCTCTGCAACTATATGAAATAAAAGCTTTTTATTAATTCTGATCCGGTTCAACTGTTAATTTTCGTCATCTTCTGTTTTTATCATCACAATCTTCAATTTGTCAGTATTCTTCAACTTGGTCCACTATACCACACACCCTCTTACAACACCTGTCTATTCCATCTCAATATAAATGGGCAGCCTGAATATCCTTCCACCATACATAAGGACCTTATTGCATATATTAATTGCTGAGGAATTCATCAAATTTAGTGTCAATTTGATCTTGTGCTTGTTTTATTTTGTTTTATAACCGTCGTTGAACAGCCGACCCAGTTTCTTTGGGTTCACGACTAATGTTCAACTCCGTAGCCTTGTAATTTTAAACCCAATCCAGAAGACAAAGGAACTACTGGATCATGTATTGGGAGAGATTTGCCTTCATGGAGGACTTTTTTGATGGAACTAACTCGTGATTGTGTTACAGTGAGAGGAAGATCCCGAGAACCTCCCACGGTTAGCCTGACGGTAAAGGGACTCTAACCCATGATCCGTCCACCACTGAGGATATTTTACGTCTAAACAAATTAATTGTAACCTAACACATCAACTTAAAGAACACCCTTTATCTATCCATTGTTATTTCTTTTTTCAAACTTGTTCCTTTGTCCCTAATAGTTTGCACAGACGCTTTTGCAATCAAATCAAAATTCAATCGAACTACTGATTTCCACTCGATTTATTACAAAAATATGACAATTTCTGGATTCATATGAAATCATTCGAACGATTTTCGTCTCGTCACAGCATGATAGCTTGACTATGAATTTTAAATTCAATGGAACAATTTCTGACCAATCACAAAGCAAATATTCTCCGTTTAATGGTGGTGGGAAGAAATCAAGAAGATAGGTATATAAAACTTTCTCATATAACACTAACACCCCGTGACAATTTTAAATAAAAAAAATAACTGATTGAACAACGGTATCATATTTTAGCTTTTCTTTTTTCTTAAATTATTATTAAGAGAAGAAAAAATTTCGAATTCCTGAATGGCATTTATAAAGTAATTTCAGGATTGAAATTCGAGACTATGATTCGATTTTCATGACTTGTCACTTTTAATTCACGTTTGTTGTTGTTTGTAATTCATTACTTAAAGAAATAAGTTGCCAATACTTGATTAATTATCCTTTTCTACTAGGCAACTGCAATTATATTATCACATTACAGTTCTCTATACGGACTTGCGTTTTTCGATCTGGTTAGATGCATGTATTTTTTGATGCAAAGGTATTTTGAAATTGCTAAATAAATTAGAAATTAAAATTTTTTATCTTTGACGAATGTTAAAAAGTAATTTTATCATAATTTAAAATATGTTATCAAAGTAGCTTAAAACGCTTAATAAAGAGAATCTTAAAAATGAAAAGTCATCATTGTACCCAAAATTGCTTAAATAATTATTTTTTTCTCTAAATTAACTATTCAATTTTATTTGAAAAAGCGTTTTTTTTAAAGAAAATGCTGTTAATACTTTGAAATGTTTTAAGAATTAAAGTAATATTTTAGATGATTACAGACACAAATAAGGAAGGTTAGAAGGAAGCTTTGTGAGCAGTAGCTAATTTAAAAGTCACAGTTAAAAATTCAAGCAAAAAATCTGTTTTAAAAATAGTCTTCAGCATTGTCTTTAATTTCATCATCTCATATGCATCTGACCACCAAAAGGGATTGTTCAATATTTTAAAACTGTTTGTGCTTTTTTTTCACTTTATAGTAATTTTTACGTTCAATATTAAGTGAAAAAAAGAAAAAGTCATCATCATACTCTATCCTACAATTAGATATAAGAGACACTAAAAATTAACATTGTAAAGACTTTATTTCCACTATCGTCACCATATCAAAATGCTAGATAAAATTAAGGTTTACTCTTTTCAACTAGCAAAAAATATTTTGGGAATACTGAAGAAAAATTCATATATAGTGACCTATTTACGCTGAACCTTCAAAACATCCAAAGAAAAGAGTTTTCATATTGGCAACCAGTATATCGAAATAATTCCTGTAACACTAATGCGAAGGTTAATTCCTATTCGCGGCTCACATAGAACGCACAGTGCTAAAAGACCAACAGTCAATTAACAATTGTGCTTTCTCAGTCTACAATCTTCATATTAGATACTTCGATAATTTTAATTATTTAATATACCTTTTCAAATATTCTTGCTAACACGAAGGAGTAAAATTATGCATGTAATGAGTCCCTTAATGAGTCACTAGAGAATGTATTTTTGGGGAAATAAAATCGTTTCAAGCCTAATGCAGCCTCTAATGAGGCCATTAAAAAGGGCAAAGATTTCAACAATCTAAAACCAATATATTTTACGATGAAACTAACGAACGATAATTATCTATTGCTCTATGAGACTGATATAGTGAATTCTGATGTTTTTAAGATTTCCTTTGTATTTTAGACTATAATTGTTTTTATTTTATCTCTTATTTTTTTTTTGTCTCTTATCTTTTTATATCTTTTGAATATCTGAGATTTTATAACTATCTCTAGTTATGCAAAATTTCTAGTTATGCAATCCATTTTTTTAGTACTTTGTCCCGATTATATTCTTGATATTTTTTTGTCGTAGCAGTCATATATTTTAATTCCATTTCCTTTCAGGAATGTTAATAAGAAAAAACACAAATTTTGGTCCAATTATTTGACGAATACTTTTCGGAATTCGATGTTGAGTGGCGTTCCGCAAATTCTTCTGGCTGAGAGTAAAATCAAGAAATGCGTTCTTACATTGGTCTTTCTGTCTTGTATAGTAGGATACCTTTATCAATCTTCTGAATTCCTGCGACTTTATTGGAAGTACGAAACTGTTGTTGATATACATTTAACTAACAGTAACCTAACAGAATTACCTTCCATCACCTTTTGTAATTATGATGGGTAAGTATGTTAAAACTGCGCATTTTTCATAACCAAAACCTACTTGTTTATTCTACAATTTTCAATATAACTGTTGAGAGTAGCAGAAAAATTTACTTTAATCCTACTTAACTAAACACGTGGCGTCCTAAAAACTGACAAATTGACAGGGGAAGTGAAAGGCACTTTTTTAATGGTTTGGCCCTTGGGTCTACTTCCCATTGGCCTCGGAAGTGCCAGAATTGCTACTCCCTTATCATTACCCAGTGGGCAACTGTGGCTAAGCCACGGCGGTGGATTAGCGTCACCCACGTCATACAACTTCACGCACGGAAGAAAGGACATAGAATACACTTGAAGAGAAAGTCACATTCATGTTAGGATACGAACATGAATGTATTTAATTCATGGTAGGATTGGAACTAACACTCAATGGTCTCGTCGTCCAGTAGACCACTGTGATCGGCTAATGAAAAACATCAATAAGAGGAAAAATTGTCATATGACATAATCACGAAAAACGCATGCAGGCTAGCCTTGAATCTAGAGGGAAAGCTCTTCCTTGGATTTCGAATACACCCGAGATGAAAAACTTTTGAAATAATTAATAAAATAAATATCTTTGTAGTTTGCTAATTTGTGTAATATCTCTCGTTTTTTTAATCACTCCTGTAGTTTGCTTATCGACCTTTGAAACTTTCTTTTTACCGGCCGATACAATATCTGTTGATTTAGTGATAGTCTTTGAGTGCGTTTTGAACGGAATTTCTTGGAATTCTTTAACCTTGCTATTACGATAAAGTGTAAATTCGTATTATTTCTCAATAATGTATTAGATGTAATTATCTGAAAATCGTATAATGCGTTGTGCAATATATTTTGTTTTTTTGCACATTGCATGACTTAGTGATAGCTTTAAATGTGTTTTGAGTGTAATTTTGATTGAGCGGAATTCTCAACCTTCTTATCCAAGATAAATTCTAACTTTACATTACCTCTAAACATAAAATTAGATATACGGGGTTTAAAAAATCATAGAAACTACTTAAATTTTTAAGGCATTCAAATCGGACTTTTTTTATAAGTGTGAATAAAAACAAAATTGTGTGTGAACAAAATTGTGAAAAAAAAATTCTTTAAATATTTTTTGAGCATGTATAGCATCAAAATATTACTTCAAACACTCATTGCTTACGCAATTTCAAACGATTTTTCAAATTACGCTTTTATTATTTATTAAAAATTACTTTCAAAAGTTTGTTTAATTTCAGTGAATATTTCTGTCGTTATAATAAGTAAACGTTTGTCAAATAATTTAGCTGCTATGAAAATGTTTAAGCTAAGTTTACGATATTTTCTGCAGTTGTTTCATATGATAATCAGCGTAATTGACATGAATTACAATGGTGTACAACACAATGGTGTTCTTCTGTTTCTGTCTGATGCTGCACCATACATGGTCAAAGTTGGAAAGTCAATTAAGGGATTTTATCCAAAACTTGTTTATATTACTTGTCTTGTTCATGCACTTAATCGTGTTGCCGAAGAGATCCGTGTAAATTACTCTGATGTAGACAGTCTGGTGTCAAATGTGAAAAAGATTTTTCTGAAAATCCAGTATCGCCAAGAATGTTTCAAAACATTTGCTCCTAGTCTAGCTTTGCCCCCTAAACTAGTAATCACCCGATGAGGTACCTGGTTGGATGCATGCTTATACTACAGTGAAAATTTTCAGATAGTGAAGTCTATCGTCAGTCGTTTTGATTCAGAAGATGCTGCATCAATTAAGATAGTGCGAAACGTGTCGGCCTCTGATAAAATCGAAGGAAACTTAGTATTTATCAAATCTAACTTTGCTATTGTGTCTTCTCCAATTACAAGCTTGGAGAAACAAGAATTGGAATTTTGCGATGCAATAAATTATATTGACGTAGTAAATCGAGTGTTGCAAAAAGCAAGGGGAAAGATAGGACAAAGTGTAGCAGCTAAATTAAGCAAAGTCTTGGAGAAGAACACTGACTTTCCAAACAATGAAGAAAATCTCTAGGATATTAACAGGTGAAGCAACATCTTTTCAAATTGAAGAAGAATTTGTCAGTAAGTGAAACCGTCATTTTCAAGTACGCTCCAATAAAATCAGTAGACGTTGAAAGAAGCTTCTCCAGGTATAAAAATTTACTTTCAGACAAGAGACGTTCTTTTACATTTCAAAATATCAAAAAACATGCAATAATCCAATTTAATTCTGATATTTAGTAATATTATGAGGTTGAAGTTGTTATATTCATTAAAGTTTCTAAACGAAATGAAAGTGTTTTGGAGTCAATGCATTTTCCTTTTTTGTTATTTTAGGATATAAGACATATTTTTCAGACTTTCATGAACGTAGAACAAGTATTGCATTGCTTTATATTTCTTGAAATGAGTCGTAATAATTTTAAAGAGTGAAACATTGTTTTAGTTCAATATTTTTACTTTATTTAAGTCATGTCATAAGGCATTTTTAGATCAATTTTCGCAATTTTAGAGCATTTTTTAAGGGCATTAGTTGAGATTTTTTAGATCATCGAAATCCGGGCTTTACTTATAAAGTTCTTAAAAATAATCATGTAAGTATTTCTTGAGAAATACGGAAAAATGAGTTAGTATAAAAGTGTCTCCATTATTTTATTCAACCTCCGTGAAACTATCTGAATATCGTAACATGTAATATGCAATACATTTTGCTTATTGCACATTGTATGATTTAGTGACAGTCATTAAAAGCATTTTAAGAGGAATTTCTTATAGAAATTTAAACATTCTCGATATAAGTATCTAAATATCTTAGTTTTCCAATAGGACAATATTTGTTTGTTATACCTTAACAAATATAATACATAAAATGTCTGCACGGTAATTGAGTAGAGAATCTTTTAATCTTTGAAGCTAATTTATTCAATAGATTGTCACTTAAATTAGAACTGAGTACTTACTTTTCACTAATCTGTGATATTTTTTACCTGTATCTTCATTTTCAAATGTATTAGAGAAAAATTATGAAACTCTCAATGGCATTCAATTTTGCAGAACAAATATAACGAAGATATGTGAGATGAATCCTATCTGGTGCTCACCATTATCTGAACAAGATCATCTTCCTGAAAATGTCTGTGGTTGTTTACCACAGCGTTATTGTGAAAATGGCACTTTTAAAGATAGAAAGGTTTGTATTTATAAATTCTGTTTTCATTAAATTCTACAGCAGCATTACATGAGACCATTGCAGATGCTTTCTCTCTCGACTTTTATGTATCACTCAAGCCATGTTATTGTGGCGATAATTAATTTGTTTATTTTCATTAATTTAATATAATTAATTTAATAAAATTAATTTTGATAATTAAATGGTATTAATTTGATTTAAAAGTGGTGGTACATTAGTTTAACCAGTAAATTTTCTAGTCGGAAGTGAGAACTTTTAAAACCTCAGAAACTGGGAAAGTGATTTGCAGGGAACCTGTAGTTTTAAACTAAGAAAAATTCATCAAAATAGGATAATTTTTTCAAAACCTTTTTCTGCCTTTTTTATTATTCACTTCCAAACTTTTTGTTAAAACGTATTATTTATTAATAATTTAATTTAAATACAACAGTGAAATAATAATATTTTTATTTCCCCCTGCTTTATTTGTAAACCCACCCACACATGCACACANTAAGTATATATATATCGTACGTGCGATTGTTAGTTTTCAGATCATGAATAAAACCTGGGTTATATTTCATTCCATACTGAAAATCATTTACTTTATAGGTTCTTCCTTTTGATACCTATGGTGATATAGCTTCATTTTCACCCGATGAACGCCTAGAGTATGTTCAAGATTTAAATGATGTAATACGTAGCTGTTCTTTCGTGGAGCGTGGAAAACATCCCGAGGATTGTGAGTAAGTTTTATGTTGCGTTGTAACAACAAAACACGAAACTAGTTTCAGGCATTGTAGTTTAAAGTTCGTATGATAGATTCTGGATGTTTCTTATTAAAGTCCTTAAAATTTTCTTTTCATACATCTTCACATCTACTAAATCTGGAAATTTTCTGTGTGCATGGTTGTTCGTGCTTTAAGAATTTGAGAGCCGGTGCACCTGTTTAAATCTCGTTTCTTGATGAAGTTTTTAAATTTTCATCACAATGACTATGATTGATACTCAATCTCCAGCAGCATTTAGTTCTCATGTAATATAAGATAAATAAGTAATAAAACTCACTATTGAAACTGATTTTCAGATACTAATGTTTCATAATAGTCCCGTTCATTTTGAAATAACTGGTTGAAACTGGCCATAGTGATACTATAATTTTGTTTTAAACTTCCTTTCTAAGCCCTTCTTACTTTTCTGGGTCTTTTATGTACGTACTAGTGGGCTGCTCTCTAACGCTTGCCAACCCCCAAAAATTGCTACGCAATCTTATATGTTTACAGGAGGATCGTGTCGAACATTTATGACCTAAACGCCAGAATTAAAACCGCAATAGCCTCTGTGGATGCCGACATGCTTGCTGCCACCTGGCGTGAAATTGACCATCGACTTGATATTCTCCGTGCGACGAAGGGGGCACACGTGGAAGTTCATTGACAAGGGTCATGAAACTTTTTGATTCCATCTAACCATTTATGTTATTAATTTTAATCTATCTTTATTATTTTATGAGTTATTGAACATCAAAATGGGTCCGGGATTTTATAAACGCACTGCATTTAACATTTTTCGTTTGAAGATCAAGAAAGTTTTCTATCAAAGCTTATCCTGATAAGAAATAATTTTTACAAACACAACGCATCTTCACTGTGTCCTAACTTTAGGGGGTGGGATCGATTTCCCAAACAATTTATTCGTCAAAACTTAGTAATCCTCAAAATGCAACGGATGATGGTAATCTAACCATCATTTTTTTGAATAATGTACATATGTCATTCTTCTTTTTCTATCTTTATTTATGATAATGAATTTAATTTTTTTGAAATGAGAAATTGGAAGACTTTAAATGTTAAAAAAATCTTTATAGGAAAAGTAAAATTAATAAGAACAATAGATTTTTTTTTTAGGAATAACCCTTAAATCACAGTAACAAAATACAATCTGGAACTGTATTGGAGGTTAGATATTATGTACGGATAAAAAAAAATGTATTTTTCTGAACCTTGACCAATAATAAGTGCACTACAACTTAAATTTTTTTTTTTTGCTTTTTGGAGGAAAAAAAATTGATTGATTTATATATCAAAATTCAAAATTGTTCATTATTTACTGTTTTTGAAGAAGAAAAGTCAACAAGCTTCTAGTGTAATCTGGAATGTCTCGTTTTGTTTTTTTTCTAGATCGTTGAAACTTCAGATAAATTTTTTCGCAAAAATATCCCAACGCTTCTTAGATCACAAAAATAGTCGCCAAAATAGGCAGTGATTCCATTGTCAATCAGAAAATTTTTTTCCCTTGTAATTTGTTAAGTGCAGTATATATACGTAAAGTCATCAAGCTAAATTGTGGATTTTTGGTTGTGTTCTAAGCAAAAATCAGTAAAATAGTGACGCATTCAATATTTTCAACAATTTATCTGCAAGAAATTAATATTCTAATTTTAAAAAAAATACTTGCTGTACCATGTAATTGTTAAGATCAGAACAAGCAAAGGATGAAATAAAATCCTGAAAAGCTAGGATTTTTTTTTGTCCAATGTTGCGGGAACGCTATCGCCTTTTACTTTTTTTGAACTGCTTAAATATTAATTTGTGTCCCTTAAAGGGCGCATTCTTTTTGACTTGAGAGAGAGAATCAAGAGAGAAGAAAGAGTAGCAGAAATATGAAAATTTGCCCTTTATGTCAAATTTCTAAAAAATTTATGGACATTTCGCAACAAACTTTCATTAAAAAATATATTTATAGCAAGGAAATCGAAATAAATACTTCGAAAAGATAACTCTTTAATAACTCTTTGGTTCTAATCAGCGTATTTTTAAGTACTGATGCTCAATTTTTTTATCATCCTTTCATTGATATTTCAAGGCATTATACCACAACATAAGGAGGGAATATCACATCACAACATATGGGATATCATATCACAACATATGAAACAACGAGAGAGTTTAAAATCCCTAATCAAAGCATCTATTTCAAGCGTATTGTAAATGTAATATAAAAATACAGAATGTGCTAAAAGCTTTTCTAACAGGTAAAGGCCTTTGACACGCTTTCTTTCTAACACTGCATAAGAAAAAGTCATCAAAGACAAGGAGAATGGCACTTTATACAATAAATCCAATCAAGTGCTCTCTCACACTTTTGTTTGTTACCTCGGCTAAGAGATGTAATATTATAAAAAATTTTGACTATATTATCAATAAGCCTAATAAATTACACAATTGTGTTTTGGTTTCAGATTGATTTAAGCCTTTCATGGTCTTTACATTTTCTGGATCTGCCCGACGTTACTCTGAACCTTTCACAAAATTGATTTCTTTTTTAATTTACTAAATTTAATATAGCTAATGTGGCTGACAATTAAGACTTGTATTAAATTACTTAAATGAGTATACCAACTATCTTAAAATGCTGCTGCGTCATGCATGTAATCTGTGTAAAATTACCTAATTTCATAAAATGACTTAGGATGTCGGTTTCCAGGATTCTCAAGGATGTCGTACGTATTTTAAAACTTTAAGAGCTCTAGATTTGTCAGGACAGATTATTTTAAAATTTAAAATTTTACCACTTAAATTTGCTTAGGTTAAATTTGTGTAAACATTTCTCACATTACATTTACCAGCAATTATAAATTTCATATGATATTATCTTCGGATAAGCAAGTTTTCTAATTGAGTGCAAAAATATTTTTGATTTGCTTCTTTAGTTTGGGAGATATTGTGAAGTGCGCAAATTGTAAGATTTACAAAAGGGAATTAGAACTTTCAGCCTTGATTTATCTGATTTGCGACTGTCTCCGATATTTTGCGGATCAAAAATTCGTGGGGGGGGGGAGTTATGTTTAATTAGCTAAAATATGTTTTTGTGTCTGATATCGTAGCCTCATATATAGTATTCAATAAAAATATTCACTTTTTTTGCATACTGTATTTACCATTCAAATGTGTGCCATAATAATAAAGGGGTAATAAATTATTATATAAATTAGTGATTAAATAAATTTTAGTAGTCAGTAAATAAGGATTATGGTTGATGGACATTTTTTGAAAATTTATCATTGACTAAATTATGTTATAATATTAGTTAAGGCACATTTCAGTGAAAGGAATCCTTAGATGTATACATATTATGTTTTTGCCATATTGATCGAAATAGTAATTCATCAACGTTATTTAACAACAACTCACATTTTTATTAAATAATTATTCGAGCAGTTTGTTTTTTAAAAAAACTATCGGACAAATATAAAAATTATAACACTTCAGAATATTCCAGAAAGAAACCAAAACAAACCATGAGTCCAGGACAAATTTGCACAGAAGCAAATTTTGTTTTAGTCAGTGATTTCTTTTACATTCTCATCTCGATGTAGGAAAGATGATTTGAATGATAAGGTCATCAAGAGAAGCCAACAAATTGGTCTTCATTTCCGTAGGCAGGATAGATCAAGTACAGCGAAAGAACGCCGGTTGTTCGTTGTTGAAAAAGAATTAAACCGTTATTATCGGAGGCCCATTAGAATTCGTCAATATTCAATCCCCCGCCCCCAAATAGCAAAGTGTGTGTGGGGGAGGGGGAGTTGCACCCCTCTATTTGAAGAAACAATCATGAGAAGAAAATACTGTGCTATGACGCCATTTTTGCTCCCTCTGGGGGGAAAACGAAAGGAGAAGTGAATTTCAAGAAAGAATATTTATTACATGATGGTCCAAGTGCGCGGGTGTGGTCTTCGTTGAAATATCTCAGTACTTATACTTGAGCTTGCTTCTTTCAGAAAATTAAAGTTCTGAACAAACTTGTTTTCATCCTACTTAATTTTTATCAGCAGAATTTTATTATTGGTAAGGTGAGAGAAGAAGCGAGTAACAACTAACATCGAAACAATGTTGAAAACGCCGTGTCGATCGCTAATTATTTTAAAGGGGTTATTGAAGCGCCGGCTTAAAAAGGGTAAAAGTTATAGATTGTAATTAGGTCTCCCCTAAGTCACTGTTGAGTATCAATAAGTTTTACTGTGCAGGTTTGACTTAAAATCTACTTTTTGATACTAAAGTAATAATGATTCTAATTCGGAGAAGGATTCTCTGAAAGCGGAATGACATACTAGACAACAAGTACTTGAGTAGTTTCTGCGAACATCCCATTTTCTACAGCAAGTTACTCTTTAGCTTCGAAATGACGCCCAAACAGGACTGAAAAGTTGCATTTGTTCTTCCATTACTAAAGTGTACAATAAGTCGAATTTGGGGTAAGGTTTTCTCAAAGCGTGATGGCATACTAGACAACAAGTACTTGAACAGTTCCTATGAAAAACTATCCACTTTTTACAGAAGTTACTCCTTAATTTTGAAATGACTCTCAAACAGGACTGAAAAGTTGCATTTGTTCTTCCATTACTTAAGTGTACAATGAGTCAAATTTGGGGTATGGTTTTCTCGAAGCGTGATGGCATACTAGACAACAAGTACTTGAACAGTTCCTATGAAAAACTATTCAATTTTTACAGAAGTTACTCCTTAATTTTGAAATGACTCTCAAACAGGAATCGAGTTTCAATTGCTTTCCCCCTCCCTAAAGGGTAAAAGTTAGGAGATCAGACAGACGAATGACAGTGAATAACTTAAATTCCAGATAATCGTCGTAAACATGTCACCCATGCATTAAGTTGTTAAATTAACAGGAATCTAGAGCCATTTTTGACAGTAAAAATCGAATAGAGCTCGAAAATCTCAAAACAGTAAGGTAACCTAAACACCTGTTTCGGTATTGGGCTGTTCATTGAAATAACAGCTAAACCATGGCACTTCCCGCACTATAATATACTACCCGAGAAATGCTTTATACGTTATAATTGGATGAGTCAAATTTTAAGAAAAAAAATTCAATCAACGAAAAAAAATCATTTTTAATTATTTTACGTAGAAAATTTTGCAAATTTTGATTGTGCATATATTCTGGAATGTATTATATACATTTCAAGACATATTAAAAGTAATATGTTATAAGCATTTAATTTCAAATTTCAATGATTTTACTTTTTCTTCACAGCTTTTCATACTTCAAAAAGTCAAGTGTTCCCTCACAAGCTGAATCTGGTGTTTTGAGTGGCTGTTATACTTTAAATACTGTTTTTGGAAGACCAAATGCAAAGCCAAATGTAGTGACTTCAAGTGGAAGTAAGTTATACATTTTTATTTCCTGTATCATGAAACTTTGCTTACCGAACATCTTAAAATTGTTTCCTACTTAGCATAGTAAAGACTTTTAATTATGAATTACAAATTTTCTCTTTGAAGCTGAAAAATAACTTAATCAGTAATTGGAAATTAATTATTCTAAATTAAATAAGATTATCTCACGTTAGAGAATATGTCTTTTAAATAGAATATTATGAAATCATACAGCCTGTATTCCCAGACAAAATATTCTTCAGAAAATCTAAAAAAAGCAATCAAAAAACTTTTTAGGAAATCTGTAGTTTTTTTTTCAAAACAAAACCCTAAAATAAATTAGTTAATTTGAAGATGTAGTTTAAATGTCTTTAAAGTCTAACTTGTATTTTTTAAAGAAAAATTTAAGATAAAAATAAGAAAATTTAGGCAAAAAGAAAAAAAAATGACGGAAATTAAAATTCTGAAAAACGGCTGTGAAATAACTGATTTTTCTAAGCCTATATTTTTTAGGTAAATAATCTTAAGGAAAATTCGAATACCTCATAAGAAGACTCTGCAGTACTAATTTTTAATAAAAAACTAATTATCTAGATGCCCTAATTTTTAAGTAGTCTGATATTTATATTAAAGACTATTTTCTTTTTCTTTTACATGAAATAATGTTAGTTTTTAAAAAATCGGTTGTGATTTTAACGCTTTACAACTGTTGGCTTTATAGTTTTCGTGAAATAAACGATTATTCTTAATATAAGATAATTTTCTTAAAGTAAAATAATATTTTAAAAATATTATACAGTGCTTAAAAAGTGCAATTTTAATGTGATTTGTAGTTTTCAATATATATTTTGGTTTTTCTACTTCCCCGAAAATGTTACATTAGTATTAGAAATTGCGGTTCAGATGTTTTCATAAATAATGGCAGTGAACAATGGGGAACAGCCATGAAAGATTGATAAGAGTTGGTAAACATTTACCTTCTTTCTCTTTACCTTGATATTTCTTATTAATAATAACAAACAAATTTTATTGGACATCAATTTCCTTTGCTTTTACTCGAATCTTAAAAATGTATAAAGGAATATTAAATTGGAGAACAATCTGCGCATTAAAAACAATTTTATTGCAGCCCCAAGTATCTATCCAATATGTCAGATTATTTAAAGTGAGAAATAGTTTTTGCGTAGTAAAAAGAAACGAAATAAAAAAGTCAACTAAAGAAAATAGTGCGTGGAGTCCCTCCGCGTGGAAGAAGTTAAACTTCGCAACCTGCGACGTTAATTGTAGAAGAATAAGCAGTCGTAGAAGGATCACTAATTCTATTCAACGATTCTTTTACCTGCTCCGCTCGCTTCCGTGCTCTGTAATCACGGTAATATTGTGCATTTTTCCCTCGTGGACCTCTTGAATTAGTGGAAGTGCTTGTGGTTGCCTCATCATCTCGCCCTGGAAAATGTATTGGTATTAATTATGTATGTGAATGCGTCATAATCAGTGTGAATCCTAACAATAATGCGTGTGAATCCTAACAATCAATTGATATTCACAAGAGACGTACCTTGACATAACCTTAAATCCTTCGCATTGTCCGTGGGATTGTTTTCACTCATTTTTTACAATTGTTATCCACTAAATTTGAAAATAAAAAATACTACCCTGTTAAATTATATGTGTATCTAATCAAACTAAAAAAATATTTATAGAAAAACAATACTTTTATGACTTTTATTATTTTTATGCTAGTGAGAACCAAAACAATATGGAAATGAATGAGGGAAGACTGGATCCTACCACGTGATTTCCCGGCCAATAAAAATTTAGCGTTAAACGTTTAACGCAACCTTGTTAGACGTCGCATAAGAAATATAACTTCAAAAAGAAAGAAACAAAGAAAAAGATAATGAAAAAAGATATCATTTAACAGTCAAAATTTATATTAAACTCTCTGTGCTGTAGTTCACTTAGTTGGATAAGTTGTGTTTTAAAAAATAAATGTGCAAAGTTTATTATATTTTTCTCAATTATTTCAGCCATAATTCTCAATATTTCAATTGATGAAAGTGAATATTTATATCTTCATCATCCTCCAGAAGGGTTGATATCGTTTCACAATCCGTACCACATTGTCAATCCTCACATGAAAGGCTTTACTTTATCTCTGAAAACACAACGACATACTTTTCATTTAAAGAAGGTAATTATATTTAAACTTTAAAAGTCGTACTTTTATGCCATTATTTAGATAAATATATACTCTTCGCACTGCGAAAAAACAAGCTACTTTTAATCGGTATTTATTTATACCGTGATATAGAGCAATAAAATGAACTAATATAATAATCTAAGTTCAAGAAAAATTTTTTTACAATTATTTTAAATAACAATTAAAGGAATCGATCCAAATTACATGTTTATTGCTGCATTTTCAGTCATAATGTGCTAAAAAAAATACTTAATTTCGTTTGTGATTAATTGTTGGTCTCTCAAACTTTTGAAAGATTTAAAATTTATTGATAAGTAAGAGAAATCGCACAATCTAAACACTTCTAAAGTTTTAAAATAATCATGTACGTATTTCTTGAAAGATTTAAAAATCTCAAGAACTTTAAATGCCGCTTCCATTTTTGTAGGTGTTCCCGTAACTAAACTAAGCCTTGATTACCTCTGGAGAGAAAGTAAAAAAGATATTAGAAAAGAAAAATTCGAGATTTCTTTCCCAATCAAAACGCAAAAAGGAGTCCACTGGGTTCGTGAGACTCGAGGGAAGGGATTTATGGAAATCACTACAAGAGCAAAACTAAACTTTGGCTGTTGAAGCCACAACATCAGAGTGCCCAAGAGCACTGAGCTGCTATCGATGTAATCGCTTAGAGAATACGGCGATAGACTGTCTGAGTGCTGAAATCTGCTTCAATTGTTACGAGACCGGACGCCATGCAGAGACTTTCAGACAGAAGATCAAATGTGTTAACTGCCATGAAACAAACAAGAAGTTTGGATCACGCTTGAAAATTAACCATAGTGCCTTGAAGATGTCCTGTCAGTCATTCCAACTAATAATAGAAATAATGAAAATTGAAACGTATTAGAACTAAACTGTTTCTGGAATCCAATAGTGATTATAAGCCAATCTTGGCATTCTCCAATATGTTGCTCCAATCAAAAACATGCATTTTTTCAAAGCTGGTTAAAGGCCTTTCATCCAGAGGGCTGCTTGACTGGTGGCTGCTACTCTGTGGTTGACCCGGGTTTGGTCATCAGCTGCAGACAGATCGGTAATGCAGCCCTGTGACCTTGGAATCAGTGTTTGGTATGGGCAGGCTTCCTGAGCTCATGGAGCATGAAAGCATCGTGGTGCTTTCCTTTTGCTTAACTCGGGGCCTTGTGTCTTGGATCCACTCACTGCATGCTTCGTTCGGGCTCGGCGTCTTCACTCGTTACAACTCATATCATTCTGGCGAACTGGCCACGTGGATCTGGAGCATCAACTCTTAATTTTCAAACTTTAAAATTGCTATATTTTAGAACAATTCGGTCATTTTACATTAAATTTTGTAATTTATTTCAAAAGATAGGGTTTATAAATACTTTAAAATGCTACGCAATTTCTTGTACTTATAGCGAGAGACAAAGGTGGAGCCAGAGACAGTAATCTTAATCCCATTCAACGATTTATTGAATTTAAAATGGTTTTATTTTTCTTAATCAAATAACTTATTCTATTTACAGGTGGTGAGGAAGCTACTTCCGTATCCTTATGACACAAATTGCATTGATTACTTATCTAGATGGAAAGAAAGAGGAGGCAAGGGTCCGTTAAATAATGAAGTAAGAAGGATAGCTAGAGTTTTTCTCTTCTCATTTTGCCATATATATTAGAGTGGAAGGAAAAAACGCTATAGTGATTTGCGTAATTGTTTACGCTATAGTTATTTTTAAAACGTTATAGTGTAGAAAAAAAAGCTTTATGTAAAAGGAAGAAAATTGACATAAGAATACTCAAATTGGAATGATTAATGATACTTAAAACTTAAAAAGACTGGAAGATTTGCACATTTTTGTTCAATACCACTTAAAATTGTGCAATCGTCATACTATAGCTCCTTATGCCTATTTTATGGTTTAAAAAAGCGGAATACAATAACGTATCCTTTTTAATTCAATAACTACTGATTCATCAATGCGCTTAAAAAACAGGAATTATATAAATTTTTCCATGCTTCTCGCCATTTACTGTAAGCGTTAATCAGTCAACATCAACCATAATTACTTAAAATTACACAATCGACATGCTTTAGATTCCTATGTTAATTTTATTGGATATTAATTTAAAAAGGGAAATAAATAAAAAAATATGTATTATTTTTAAGCATACCAGTAATGCTATGCGTTAAGAAAAACGCGAATAACGTAACTTTTCTCCAGTTTCCTGATTTATACCGCCGTGGCTTATAAGCTGCCACATAATGAACATCCTACAACTGGGAAATGAAAAGATTTCCTTCACAGAAAATTGTCGAAACATGAATTCTGTATTCAAGAAAAATTCTAATCAAATTTTAAGTTGAAATAAACAGCAGACGTGTCAATTTATCTAAAGGATAGCTAGGACACTAAAGTAAAAAATATAATGCTTATGGAACAAAAGATCTATCTATACATCTGCTAACTACAGGATTGTTCTTATATATTATTATAGTAATTCGTAGGAATATATCTACAATTATCATTAAAACGAAGAATTAGCATTTAAGCAGAAGCTGAACGTATTTATAAGCAGAGTTTTTTCACTTTTGAGGCTTTCATTACCAATTTCAAGGATTTCTCGCAATTTGGAAACTTTTAGGTTTATAATGTTGTTGAGAAGTTCAGAAGTTGCTCAGAAGTTGTAAACCACTGGTACCATAGCTTCAAGATACACCGAGTCCAAATGCTAGTCTATATACTTGCAGGCCTGTCAGATCTTTTCCACACATGGTAACTTGCTGTTGCCAGTGATTAGCTTGGAGTAGAGATCATGCAATGAAGAGATAGTAACAGTGGGTTTGTGTGATGTTTTCCGACTAGTCAAGGTTAGATTCACGTCGGAATTTTAAATGTAAATTTATGTAAGTCTAGTAATTGTAGTAAAAGCAAATGTAAATTTAGGTACTCGATACCATAGACAATATCTTTGAACGACAGTTTTACGGTGGTACATAATTACTCATTTGGGGTGAAATTATGCAAGGCTACAGATTTCATGCATATAAATGATTTCTTATTCGCTAAATAAGATAAACTCGATGATTAGCACAAAAGTGGTAGAATAGGTGGAATACATCTCCAAATTAGTATTCCTAAAGTTATCTGAATCAACATATTTATTCTATTCATAGTTATTCTAGTTTCAGATAACATTGAATAACATCAGAAAATAAGAGAAATTTCGAATTGATGAGAAATGCGAGGAAAGAGAAAAATTTGCTTTTTTCTCAACGTTAGATTCTATACAAAGTAATATCATCTAACGTTCATCATAATATTGTTTCACTTTATGATTTGCTACTATTATATTTGATATTTTATGTTATTGTTTTTCGTTGTCTTACTTTACTTTTTGGAATAATCGAGAGAAAAGTTTGGACGGTAGTAGAATATTTCGGCGATATAATTTTAGTTAATTTTCTGTGTGGTTGTGTAGCCTTAAAACATGGCTATCATGATGCTAAGTCCTCAAAACCGCTGATCATTATTCTGATGAAATGAAGTGTATAAAATATGTTTTGCTTAATTTAAAAACGTAAATCCAGTACGAAGAGCAACAAATAATAAAAAATAGACAAATAAATTATTAGCTTTATTATTTGACTCGTCATATGCCTTTCAGTTTTTGTGCATGATTTTGTAGTATTGTTCAGACCTGATACACTAATTATTTTCTTCTTTACTCTCCCCGTACGAAATAGAGTGTTCAATTAATTTTTCATGAAACCATCCTCGGACGACAAGAAATTTCATCTCTTTAACAATATGATCCGGAATGGCAGTTTTTTTTTATGGGAATTTGTCTGAAATTGTTTAGGAGTTGTAAATTTAAATAAGTTTGGCTGTATTGATATCTATCTTTAATTTAAAGGCATTTAGTGAGATAATCTATCTCCTTCTATTAAACAAATATGCTTAGAGAATAGCTTTACAACACACTAAATTTAATGAATTTCAATCATGTTTTTTTGTGTTTCAGGACTGCTATAATGAATGCCAATTAAATATTAGCTTAAACGTATTTGAGTGTCTACATTCTGAGTTCAGACCGTATTCAATGGAAAGCATCTTCTGTCCTATGGAATTCCTTAGTGAGTAAAAAACTAGAATTTAAACTATTTTTATTATCTTTCTTATGCATTCTATTACAATTATTTTGACAACGTAGAATTAGCATATTGACCTTTGAACCGTTACTTATTAGTAACTTGTTACTTTATCAATTTTAAACCTCTTAAGGAAAAATGAGTTGATTGTAAAATATGTATATATTTTAGTAGAATTCACTTTAACTAATAAGATTAAAACCAGGTAGCTAAAGTTACAAAGACAATCATGATAAATTTGCACATTTGGTATTTTCTTTATCGTTTAAAAAATTTAAAACTTTAAAACTCAACTTTATGAAAAAAAGTTTTTTATCCGGTTGTAAAATGAGTTAAGAATTTTAAAAAGTCATTTTATGTTATCTTTTTCATATGATTATATTAAGATATATTTATCAACATGAATCATTTTTCACAGTAATCATTTTACGGTTCCACTAAGCAAATAAGAACCTTTATTCCATTAATCTTGTCTTTTAACTTATTTCAATGAGCATATATTATCTAAATTAATTAAGAATCATTGATGTCAATAATAGACGTTTTCCTCCGTCTCCGCAGTGAATTACTAGCACTTAGTAGCATTTTAAGTTGAATATAACGAACTGTTAAGTTATTTGGGAAATTATTGTTTGTGATTTTTCAACGTGATGTTAGTTTACTTCGATTATTGATTAATTAATCATTTTCTTACATCAACCAATAAATAGAGATTCTTTAGAAAATCACCGTCAATAATTAGTTGTCTAACAACAATAAAGAGCTCAGTGTACGGTCGGTGCAGATTAAAATCCAGAGTTTAAATGTTTGTTCCGTAAGTTAAAATTTTAGTACTATATTTGCTGCGAATCAGACGAAATCATCAGAAACTTTTGTCTGAGATGCGTTACTCTTTTGTAGGACTGACAAATCTGCGCAATAAACAGATTTAAATTGCATTTTAACAATAAACAGATAAACAGAAAACCAATAAACAGATTTAAATTGCATTTTTTGATCGGCCAATAAGATACTATAAAACTGGCTATCGATATGGCCCATTGCATCGATTTGGCACATTTTTTTGAGTAGCTGCATAGAGGAAAACATTTCTTGTGCAGTTTCCAAAATTCGTATGAAAAAACAACATCCATTTTTGGGATATTATTTCATTTCTGCGCTACTGAAATTAATAGTAGGGGAGAGTGGGGTCAATTGTAACAGGGTATGATTGTAACAGAGCAAAAATTTCGAGTGTCGGGTTCTAGATTTGGTTCCTAGGTGGCGCACAAGGTGTATTTAATAAATCTACATGTACACCCATGCTGGCAAACATTTTTATGTACTTTTGAAAGAGTTACATCACAAAAGATATTTCCCGCTACGTAAGTACTTTTTTTGGTATTAGAATATTATATTGTAACAAAGTAATTTTGTTTAAACAAATAAAAATTATTAACCGAATATGTAAGGGGACACCTTAATTAACATTTCAATAAAAAACATTTGTTTTGTTAATTAACTAGCATTGTTTTTAACAAATGAAGCTGAAATGGCGTCTTGGGGACAATTGTAACAGTAAGTAAAGGGACGATTGTAACAGCTGAAAATAAATAATC